TTCATTATTATTATCGATAATGTCGATGATGAAGAAGTTTTTTTTTTGTTTTTTGTTTCAACCGAATTGATTGATTGATAATAATATTTATCCAATTTTAAATAGCTTAATTAACTCCCTTATCATTTTTTTTGTTTGTTTATTTAAAAACAGTACAATGATAACGTTCATTTGGCAAAAAAAACATTTGAAACAGAAAATGATGATCGAAGATATGAAAATCTTTTTTTTTCGCAAACGCAGAAAAAACTGAAGAAAAATCAGAATGACCACCACTGTTTTCGATACACAGAAAAAAATGGTCGATAAATTACCGCTTAAAAGCTTATTGGGAAGAAAAGAAAAAAACTTTTCAATCATGCTTTTTTACCCCCCCCCCCAATAAAAGAAAAACACTTTTGGTGATTCCAGTTTTGAAAATATATCCAAAAATGGACATATTTGCTTNCAACAACAACAACAATCCGGCACACATCATCACCATTATGATGATGCACCAGAATGAATAATTATGATGATTCTATCTGAATGAATGAATGAATAACCTGAAGGCAAATTGAATGAATCACGACGACGACTAGAGGATTACAATTTGATAATTTATTTTAAATGAATTTTTTTTTTGTTCAAATGTCAAATGTGAATGGATTTTTCTTCCAAAAAAACTCTGGGGGAAAAAATAGGATAATTATACCAGAATCGAGAATTTCACAAGAAAAAAATGAAAAAAAAACAAGCGAAAACAAGCGAATCAAGCGAAAAAAAATGTTTGAATGAAGCGAGGGAAAAAAAAAGTTTAACACAATTCACTCCAATGTCGTCCTTGACCAATATTTTTATTATTATTATCGATGATGAAGAAGTTTTTTTTTGTTTTTTTTGTTTCAACCGAATTGATTGATTAATATAATATTTATCCAATTTTAAATAGCTTAATTAACTCCCTTATCATTTTTTTTTGTTTGTTTATTTAAAAACAGTACAATGATAACGTTCATTTAGCCAAAAAAACATTTGAAACAGAAAATGATGATCGAAGTGGATATGAAAATCTTTTTTTTCGCAAACGCAGAAAAGAACTGAAGAAAAATCAGAATTACCACCACTGTTTTCGATACACAGAAAAAAAAATGGTCGATAAATTACCGATCGAATCAAAAAAAGCTTATTGGAAGAACAGAAAAAAACTTTTCAATCATGCTTTTTTTTCCCCGCCAATAAAAGAAACACTTTTGGTGATTCCAGTTTTGAAAATATATCCAAAAATGGACATATTTGCTTTTTTTTGGTTGAAAATGGATTCTCTTTCTCTCAGTATATATATTCAGTAATCGATTTTGGTGAAAAAAAAAGAAAAATTTTCCCAATTGCTTTTTGCTACAAATTCAATTGAAACTTGAAAATTTTACATTTTTTTTATAAACAGCTGCAGCCAATCCATGCATAATTGATGCTAATTATCAACCACCCCAGTACAAAAAAATGCTACTTAATGAATAACCAGAAATTTTTTTTCAAAATGTTGGCCTTGAAAAGCAAAAATATGCCAGAAACCAGTATAAATGGACAGGATAATGATGATGATGATGATGATGATGATGATGATAAACCACCTTTGTTTTTGTTTTCGTTTTGTTTTTTCAATCAAGCTAATTATACAAACAGTGAAAAAATTCATTTTGAAATTTACTTATCATCATTTGCTAACTAACTAACATTTGTTATAATCATATAAAAAACAAAAACAAAAATATGGCAGCAGACATCATTGATTTTCATCATTCAAAATTGTGAGAGTTACGAGGGAGAGAGAGTTACATCAAAAATATCAAATTACAAATGATAAACATTGCAACAAAATCACTTTCATTCAATTCAATTGACGAAATTGTTTTTTTCAATCACAAAAAACATACAGAAACCAGCCAACCAATTAGCATATAATAGCTGACCAACCAACCATTCACATTTGAAAAAAAAATTTTCAAATTAAATTCAAGATAAGAAGCATGAATGCTGAATTTTCTTTTTATCAAACTAAACTAATATTTCGCTATTTCGCTATACTGAAATTTGAATTTAATTCAATTTCAATAACCAAGTTGAGAAAGAAAAAAAAAACAGCACTTTGGACATTTGATTAGTTTTTTTTTCAAGTGTGTAAATCTTACTGTGTTGAAATATACTGTCCTTTTCTTTTCTCATTCCATATTGAAGCTATTCCATATTACAACTGGACCATCTCTCAAGAGATTCTTCACAATTTTAACACTTAATAACAACAACGGGGTGGGGGAAAAAAATGATCATTTTTTTTCCAATTGATTTTTTTGGATATCGATGATTTGGTTTTTTGCATTAGTTGTGTTGTCGATATACACACTATTTCCACCCAACAAAGAGAAAGAGAAAACAAAATATGATATGTGTGTGTGCATATGACAATTTCAAGATCTGAAAAATAATCAATATTTTTTTTTGATTTGAACAAATGTCAAATCCATGTGGACCATTATGTTTTTGAAGAAAAAAAAATTTGTAATTATGATGATGATAAACAGGGGAAAAGGATCAAAGTGCAACAAACAAACAAACAAACAACCAGCCAAATTAAAAACACATCAATTTTATTTTTCTGTCGGTTGTTCGATTAAATCGAATCAAAATCAATCGATCGATGGTCAATCGATTATTATTATATGATAAGAGAGAAAAGAAAGCAAAACTTGACAACAGACAGCAACAGTGTTTTTTCAATGGAAAGAAAAACTGGATGGAAAATTTTCAGAAATTTTCTCATTTTCCAAAAAATTTCCAAATGTTGTTGTTGTTGTTTCATTAGCCGTTGTCAAATTACGTTTGAAATTTGTTGTTGTTGTCATTTGAACTAAATTAACACAAAATGAACATCACAACAACAACATCATTGATAATGATGATGATGATGATTATCGATCGTTAACAGAAAAAGAATATTTCGAAAAACAAAAACAAAAAAAAATTCAGACCGGACAATGTAATTACATTGTTTGTTTGTTTGTTTAATTTTCAATTTAACAATTTTCACGATGATAATAATCATGTCAATTAAGGTTCTTCACCGTCATCGTTGGACGTCGTTGTTGTTGTTTTCAAACATATTTCGATCCAGAAATAATGATAATGAGAAATAATGATTCGCAAATGGAACGACGTCCAAACAAAAAAAAAATTGTTCGATTCTATTTTGACTCTACCGTGTTGTTGTTGTTGTTGACAAATTAATATATTTCCTGTATCATTAGTAGTGTAACGTTATTTATGAATTTTATTTATTCAATTTAAACCGGCAGAAAAAAAAACCAGAAAAAAAACTTCCTGGAACATTTCTTTTTCAGAAAAACTTTTCTTTTCGATTCAGTAAGTAAATCCTGATTTACATGATGATAATGTTGTTTTTCGATCGAAAAAGAAATTGAAAAAAACAAACAACGAAACAGGAAAAAAATTCTATTCAAACCAAATATTCTTTTACAGAATTCAAATTCATCATCATCATCATATGAATAAATGATAAAATTGAATGTACCAAACCAAACCAAACACACACACACAAATAATGAAAATGTATCGTTTTCAAAAAAAACTATCAATGATGGAAAATAATAATCTTTTAAAAGAAATAGCAGTCGAAACATCTTGAATTCAGAAGAAAAAATATTTCCAGAAATCGTAAGCAAGCAAAAGAACATTATGAATTATTTCGTAGTTTCTTTCTTTCTTTCATTTTTCATTTCATTTCACCCATCTCAATCATCATTGCATATGGGAATTTTTTTTTCTTCTTCGTTTTTGCAAACATTTCATTTTTTTTTTTGTTGTTGTTGTTGTTAAAATAGTCATTCTTTTCGGTTGTTGTTTCTCCCCGGGCAAAAGAATCATGTCTGTCTGTCTGTTGTTGGTTAACAAAAGAATTCAATTTTTTGGGATGCTTCTTCTGCTTTTTGAAAGATTCTTTGTTTGAAAAGAAAAGAACAATTTCTGAAGTCTTTTTTTTCAGGAGAAAAACATCTTGTCATTCTTTTTTTAATTTGAAAAAAATTTGTTTAAAAAAAACTCATCAAAATTACATTTTTTTTAACACGTTCGCTACCGGAGATTTGGAAAAACGCATAGAACTACAGCAAATAAACGACGCATATATGCGTCGCTGGTAGCGAACGCGTTAAAAAAGAATTTCCACTGTGTTCATGTTTGGGCCATCCACATACATTGTTACCAGCATAATTATAAATCCGTTTTTTCATTTTCTGAAGAAAAATAGAAAAAAAAATTCTCCCTTATTTCAAAGAAAGAAAATTCAAGAAAAAATTTCATCATCACCAGCATCAATCGACCAACGCCTTTTTCTTTTTTTGCAAAATTGAAAAACTCTGAAATGAAACTGAAACTGAATACCGAATCAACCGGATGCCTAAATGATTAAATATTCATTTCCAGTTTTTCATTTGGTTGCTGCTCTCTCTCTCTCTCTCTCTCTCTTTGTTCATTTTCATTGATTTAAATAATAATTTCCGTTTCGTTTTGCGTTTTCAATTGAAAAAAATCAAAAATCAAAAATCAAATTCAAAATAATGATGATTCGACAGAAAATTGTCAAAAAAAAAAAAAAAAAAAAAAATTAATAATGCAACTTTATTATAATAATATCACAATGTTCAACAACAACAACAACGACGAACAACAACAACGAACGACGAACAACAATTAATTGATGATTAGATTTAGTTGAATATTTTTTTTGATAAAAAGTAAGTTTTCTTTCTGGCTGATTTTTTCTGAAACACTTAATTGTTGTTGTTGTCGTCATCAGCATCTGGTGTATCCAATCCAAGAAAAACGAAGACGAAAAAAAGAAAAAAGAAAAAAAAATTTCAGCCATTAATTTTAATCAAGCATCCGACACACAACCAAAAATGAACAAATTGATCACACTTAATCTTTTACTGTTCGTTTTTCTCGTTTTTTTTGCTAGTTTCCATCGTCCAAAACGAGAGAAAAACGAAACGATGACAATCGAAAATAAGAAAGCCTGTTTAGCTCAATTAAAGTGTTTTTTTTTCAGTTTGTTTTCAACAGCAACAACAACAATGATAATGATGATCAAAATGAAATTGAATGTAGGCAAAAGTGAGAAAAGAAGAAAGACAATTTTTTTTAAACACACGAATAGAATAAATGAATGTGTAAATTGGGCAGATTCAAAAAGAGAGAAATCCACAATCCTCATTCTTGTAAAAAATCCGGTATAATTTTCAACTTTGGACGATAAATATTTGTTTCATTCATCAATATTGATGTTGTCGATGTCGTTGTTGATGGTGGTGGTGGTTTTAATGATAAATTTAACAAACCATTATCATCCTCATCATCATCACTATCATCAATGGTAAAATATTTTGGCTTTTCAATGTTTGATGATTGGCCATCATCATTATCATTATGAAATCGACGAATCAATTGAATCCAATCAATTTTTAATGAATCATTATCAAAAGTATCGCCATCTTTTGTCAACGGAATAAATGATAAATTTTCAATTATTTTTTTGATTATTGATTTATCATCTTCATCGTCGTCGTCGTTACCATCGTGGTTTACTAAAGATCTGGATTCATCAATTCTTTTCGAGTTATTCAAATGATGATTTTTCTGAAATTGTTTGGTCAACATTTGATTCAATAGATTTTTTGTATTCGGTGATGATAAATCTAATGGAAGTTCATTCGATTGATTATGTTTCGGTGATGATAATGATTGATTATTATTAGTGTTATTCGCTGCATTTGTCAACGGTTTATTAATCTTTTTAAATTTAGATTCTTTTTGTAGTTTTTTCTTTTTTGGTGATTTTTGTTGTTGTTGTTGTTGTTGAACGATTTTAGGTGGATGATAATTATTACATTGATCACCACGTGGACATTTTTTCCGTTGTCCAATTGCTGAACATTTAAATTGATGCAGTTTATTGCACTATAAAACAAAAATTCTCTGAATTAAATTCTGGAGAAAAAAATGTTTAAACATTCTTACCGATAATCCTTGCAGACAAAAACCACTGGCAAAATTTTCACATAATTTTGCATCTTTATTCACTTTAACATGACGATATTGACAATTATCAGCCGTACATTTACCACGAAGAAAAAATCTACAATCAGGCATTTTATCCGGTGTTTTATCATGTGATAAATGACATATTGGTTTTCGACAAAGTTGTTGTGTTAGGATTCTATAGATTTTTGATGATGAAAATAGGAAAAAATAACTTTATTTTTTTGTTTGTTTTTTCGAGAAAACTTACCTTTGACAAATACCACGTTTAGATGGATCATGTTCAAATGAACAATGTCTACCTTTTCGACAAATACCTTCACGACAAAATTGTAAACAATATTGACCATAGCTTTTGTTTTTTTGTTTTTGTTGTTTGTTTTTGGCGATAACTTTCATCATGATTGATTGATTGATTGATTGATTCAGTCAGTGATCATTAAATCGATTAAACCAAAAAATCGCTTTTCATTTTTTTCAAATTTCTTATAAAGTTTCTTTTTTTCAATCCGAAATGTATCAAAAATAAACTTGAAACTTTTTGTATTTTTTGAAAAACTTTAATCAAATCGAATCGCTCAATGAAAAAAAAAATGTTCGAAAGATTGGTTCATAAAGGACGTATTCGAAAGAATTTTCCAAAACATTTTTTTTATTTATAAATTCAAATATTAGCTAACAGAAATTCAATTAAATCAAATTAATTAATTAGGACCAAATTCCATATTTGGATCATATTTTGCACCAGGATTCTGTCTTGGATCCGGTCGATCTAATGATTTGATAACGAAATTTATTATTTCTTGAACAGTATGAATTTTTTCAGCATCAACATCATCGATTGTTATTTCAAATTCATCTTCAAGAGCTACCATTATTTCAACTTGATCCAATGAATCTAAACCAAGATCATTTGTTAAATGGCTTGTTATTTTTACCTGAAAAATGAAAAATGATTTTTAGATTGCAAACATAAACGTAAATAACTTACATTTTTCGGATCAATTTTATCATGCGTTGAAATGGTTTTGAATACACGTAATTCAACTTCTTTTGGGTCGATTGGTGGTAAATCTTCACCATATGATGCAAATGTACGACAAATCAATGGCATTAATGGTTGCCGAATTTGATTTTGTTGTTGTTGTTGTTGTTGAATGAATAAATGATGATACCGAAGTGGTTGTTGAATCAATCGTACATTCAGAATAAATCTATTCCAAAATTGTTTGCCTATTAAACGGGCCATTATTATCACATGTAACGAAAGAATTGAAGAAAACAAACGTGGAAATCAAATGAAAAAGAAACAAACCAAACAAAAAATCTTCAAACTTGAAAACAGCCTGAAGAAGAAAAACAGAACAGAAGGCCAAAAGGTGTCATTTGATTTGTTCGAATGCTCGATTTATACGATGCAAGTATTATAAAGTTTGAAAAGTTTTCTCTCAAAAAAAAATCAACAAATTTTCAAGTTTTTAAAATTTTTCAAGTTTTATTCAATTAAAATCAATGATAAATTATTTACAAATGTGAAATCAGAGGAAGGGGGATGATGAGAAAAAAAAATTACAAAAGATATTACAAAAGAAAAAATAATTTACAAATCAAAATTAAAAAAAGAAAAGAAAAGAAAAACTTCTCCGGAAATCTTAATCAATCATTTTCAATTTATTATTATTATTAATTACCGGTAAATCGGTTAATTTCGTACAATAAGATTGTGGTAATATTTTCGTACGATGAAATGTATCAATCGTTTGCTGTTGTTGATGATTATTTCCACCAAAAGTATTACATAATTTTTGATTCGTTGTTGATGATGGTGGACGAATAATATTCATTGTTGGTGATGGTGATTGTCGAGAAATTTTCAAATTATTCTGTATACAATGTATGACAACATTTTCAGCATCCGATTCATGTTTTCGTCGACGATAATAGGATTTTATTGAAAGAATTCCCGAAACAGCAATTGTTGTAAAAATAAGTATCAACAAAAGATTTACCAATGTCCAATCTGATTGACGAATATTTTCCATATTAACAATAACATGTAATATATGTGGAAATAGTGTACGGGAAATATATTGAGCAAGTTTTGATTGTTTATTTACTTTGATGATTATTTCATTACCCGTGGTACTGGTTGTATCATCATTATTATCCGTTATTCGAAGTTGACAACAAAATTCATTATTACCATCATCCGAATCACTATCAAGATTACTATCGATAGTGAGCAATGAATGTATCGATTGTATTGTCGTACATGTTTGTTTTGGATCAACATTCGAATCGAATATTATACGAATTTCCGAAAGATTTGTTCGTTTGGATTTTAAATTATTACATTGATTGTTTGTGGATTCTTGTTCTTGTTCTTCTCGTTGCTGACATTTACAATCAACTTGAAAATTTTCACGACATAAACAAATTTTTTCACAATCAGTTTCATTCAAATACCAAACATGATTTGGTATTGATTCACAAACAGATTCATCAATACGATCACATCTTGGCCCAATAAAACCGGTTGAACAAACACAACGAAAATCATTAATCAAATCGATACAGAAACCACCATTTTGACATTGAATTTGGTTATGTTTACAATCATCGATTTCATTTTCACAGAATAAACCTTCAAATCCTTTTTTACAAACACAAATATAACTACCATTAATATTAATACAAGCATTTGAATGTATACATGGTGTTAAAAGTGCTGAACATTCATCAACATCCAATTCACAACGATTACCAGTCCAACCATTTGGACATGTACAACGATAATTATTCTCCAAATCATGACATGTTGCACCATTTAAACATGGTTGTGTTGAACATTCATTCAGATCATTTTCACAACGTTTACCAAAAAATCCCGGACGACATACGCATTGAAAATCCGTTCCATTTGTTAATGTTATACAAGTACCATCATGTAAACAAGGTGTTGTTGCACATGCATCTTCAACTATTTGACAATTAACACCGGAAAAACCTTTTTTACAAACACATCTAAGATGATTCGATGAAGAAAAAATCAGGTAAGTATCATATTAATGATTATGCAAAACAAAAAAACTAATAATAATTGAATGAATATTTACCTATAATTATCAGGTGCAATATTTTCACAACGACCATCATTCAAACAAGGTTCATGTGTACCACAATAATTAAGATCTTGATCGCATAGAATTCCACCCCAATTTTGTTTACAAATACATTGAAATGGTGAAACACAATATCCGTGTAGGCACCCTGTTGGTTGATTTGAAAACAAAAGAAAAAATTGAGAACAAGAACAAAGAGAAAACATGAAGAATTAAGAAAAACAATCGATCAATCAATCAATCAATTACATCTAGGATTTTACTTTCAAACATTGGACGCCTACAAACTTTTCATTTCATTTTTTTCAAACAAAAAAAAAATCAAACTTGTCAAATGAAAAGAAGAAAAAGAATCTTTTGTTGTTGTTTTTTTGAACGAATTCAATTGTTGTTTTTGCTTACTATTAATAAACATCATCAACAAAATTGATAATTAACGTAAGTAAAGTAAATAATATTTGTTTTATTTCGAAAGTTTGATTGATTCTTCATCATCATCATTATTAATTTCTTTCTTTCTTGTTTTTTAGATAATGATTTTCAATCAACCGAAAAAAACCAAGAAATTCTTTAATATTGAAAAAGACGCCTCATTTGTAAATCACCAATGACATTGATCCGATTGATCAATTGATCAAATTCAATCACAGTGTGTGTGTGAAATCGTTTTAAACAACAGGCACACTTTTTTTCTTACTTGAAAAACATTGAACATTGACTGATTTATACAAAATACCGGGTGTATTTTTTCCATTGAAAAACGGATTTATTTTGTAGAGAAAAAATCATCATCCTTATCACGATTATTGTTAATGAATGAACCAGGCACCAATCGAAGAATGAACAAACGAAACAAAAAAACGATGATAATAATGACAAATTACAATCACACACACATAGCCTATTCTACAAATCTAGGTTGTTATTGATGCAACCATTTTTTTTTTCATTTGGTGGTCATCATTAGATGATCACGATCTTTTGTAGCTACCGAAATCATCATCATTTGAATCCAGGTAAAACAACAACAACAAGATTCGTGTATGCAGGTAGTCATCAACATCATCTTTAATCAGTGAATGATGATGATGATGTCTATTATTAAGCATCATCAACATCGACATTTTCAAAAACCAACTAGGATATGGGCGGTATAGAAGAGAGGGAGGTGTGTCGGTTTTGTCATTTGGTTTGTGGAACGCACACAAAAAACATTTTTTGACATTGAAATTCTTTTGCATATTTTACTTGTACAGGTGAAACAAATCACGATTTTTCTGACAAAACTCGAAGAAATTCCAAAGAAAAAGAAACCAGAAATTTTCTTTGAAAAAATTCTTTTAAAATTTTAAACAAACCACAGCCCTTATAATCACACACCTTATCTCAGTCAAGTAAGTCATTCAGTCAGTCAGTGTGATTGATGTCTATGACCACCAGCAGCAGCATTCACTACTCAAAATGACATTCACATGCAGAGAAACTTTTTTTAAAATCCGGATTATCATTCGATGATTATTATTGTAACAGAAAATTTGTTTTTTCTCTTGAATTTGTTGACCACCACCAACATCAAACATCGAATCAAGGTTTGTTGTTTGTTTTGTAATGATAACAAAAGTAGCATGTTGTTGTTTTTCGATTCGCCCATCTCTTTCCCTTACTTACTTTGGCTTTTTCCAAACATCATAATAATCGATCACACACAATCAAAACACCACCACTAATCTAATCTGCATATTGAATTCTGTTCTTTGTTTGGCTTTTTTTTCAATAGGATTCTCCACTTGAACAACAACAAAAAAAATTCATATTTGATTTTGGTAATGAATCATCTCTATTCATTCAAAAAAATCTATAGCCTTTGGTCATTAATCAAAAACGAAATGAAAAAATCTTTGTTTAAAAAAAACCAAAAAATTTTGTTTTTCAAAAACGAACAAATTCTCTCGATAATTTTTTTTCAGCAAAACAAACAATGATGAATTCTCAAGTGTTCGATTCAGATATTTTTCACTTTCATTTGATTATGAAAATTTTTTTTTTCATTTTTTTTATGAATTTTTTTTTGTCGAGAGTTCGTTAACTTTCTGTTTGTTCGTAGTGATGGTGGGTAAGTGTGGGTTATTTTTTATTATAGTATTGGTGGTGGTGATCCATTTGGGACACTATTTGAACCGCTATTGAAAAACGCGGACAGAAAAAAAATTCTAGCTTAGTTTTTCATTTTTTGAATAGAAATTGAATTTGTTAATGACGAAATGAATGAATGAAAAATGGAAAAAAACCGACCGCAATGATGCGGGAAAATGATTTTGTGTGTTTTCAAATGATGAAAATATGAATATAATGTTCTCCTGCATCACCTAACATCCCACTGATGATGATGATGATGATCACACATTTTATTTTTTTCTATCGAAAAGAATATTCAGAAAAGCTCATTTGTCATAATCAACATCATCATTTGAACATGTTTTTTGGGTTTTGAATTAGCTTAATGATGATGATTTTCGTGGAGGGGAGAGGAGGATGAGAATTATGATTCCAACATCGGATGGTAAGTTTCTCATTGGATTTCTTTTTAGTTTCGTTTCAAATTACAATTTTTTTTTGAATATTGAAAATTTGAATTTTGAATGGACCTATACCATGTGTAAGTAATGTTAAAAATGGTGCGGTTGGTGAACGACATTGACATTCATCGGGTAATTCACAAAATCCATGCATTTCATTACAACCATTACGACATTTTGCTAAACATTAAAAAAAAGGTAAAGATTTTTATAAGATTTGAAAATATTTTCTTCTTTGAAAATCAAACATACGTTTATCACAATTTTCACCTTTCCAACCATATAAACATTGTTTATGTCCATTTTTCGATTCACATGAATAATGACCAAATGTATCATTACGTTCACGACAAAATGTAGCACAATCATCTGAATGATAATAATGATCACAATCGATACGAAAACGTATCGATATTATACGACCATCGCTTGCATGAAATGTACGATATTTCCAATGTTTACCCGGTATAGCAAATTCATCTTCAACAATAAATCTATCCATTGCTGTTAACGATGATGATGACGACGACCATTGATTATTATCGGCCAATTGGATTGTAAATGAAAATGATCCCTTCATAAATTAGATAATCGAATTAGATTTTAAACAGAAAATCTCAAAAAAAAATTTTAAAAAACGATCATTTTGGGTATAAATAGCCCGAAGGTGCTATTTACACAACGAGATTTTTGAAAAAAACAACGTTAAAATCTTCTTAGCAATTCAAAAAAAATCAAATAACCATAATTCAATTAAATCGATGATTATTATCCAATGATCCAAGTGATTCAAGTGTTCCAAAAAACTTTGAAACTTTGAAAATTTTTGTTTGACAGTTGGCAAAAAGTGGCAAAGTTTGGATTTAAAAAAAATTTATGGGTCCCATTCGGCCCGGGATAAATTTTGCAGAATTTTTTTCATTTGGCTACTTTTATTTCAATTCTTTTTTTCTGGCTAATGAGAATATAGCAAGAATCAAATGAATATATTGTTTGTTTGTTGCCAATTTGAATCTATCTCATGAGAGTATTTACACATGGCACCTATTTAAACAGCAGCGCTACAACTAACTAAGGGTCTATTGTCAGCATCGAGACACACACAACTGTCAAAACAGTAACAAATAGTCAGGGTAGGCAGGGATTATGGTCTTTTCTTTTTTGGTTTTTTGGTTTCTGAAACGGAATGGTTCAAATTTCCCCCTATACAAAAGTGTCAAACTTTTTTGTGTTGAAAATGATTCCGGTTTTCAAAATTTTTTTTATTGTTGCTGATGTTTGAATGACGACCAAACAAACAAACAATCGAAAAAGTCAAAATTGACTGACCAATAGCAACAATATATGATTGTGATCCGGATATTTTGTTACATTATTTATGAATGTATATGGACATCTGAGAAAGAGTGAGAGAAAAAAAGGGTAATTTGATTTGATGTAATCACCCCAAAAAAAAATGTCTATTGTACAACGAGAATTATTTTGGGAATTTTTTTTCGTTTTTGTTTCTGGAAAAATTTCCCAATTGACAATGGAGGTAAACTACTACTTGTAAAGATGATAAATAATTAATTTTGAAAAGCGAAAATCTTTTTTCCTTTTTTTCTCTCTCCAAAAACTATGACATGCAAATCACGTATTTTATCGATGCAAAACAAAACAAAACAAAACGGTTTTCCATCAATTTGCTTGAAAACCTTGGTTTTAGAAAAATTTACCCAAAAAAGCAACTAATTATTTTAACGAAAAAAAATATGCAAATCAATATTTAAGGACAACAATGAAAGAAAGATTTTTAGCAGCAAACACTTTTACCTGATCAGATAGAACAAGGTAAAATTATGATGATGACAACAGATGACAGATGGAAAAAATCTATTTTAGATGGGAAAAATCACAGTCCGATCATCATCATTTGGTCATGGACAGGTGAACACCATCACCAATCATGTTTTTTGGTTAAGTTTCACCATCAGGGAAAGAATCTTACCCAGGGAAAAGAATCTGAATAAAATATGCCTACACTCAGAGATAATAAAAACAAATGTCTTTATGTGTGTGTGTTTTATGGATGTTTTACTTTACTTTTCTCCCAGAGAAAAGTAAAGAAATTCCAGATGAAAAAATCACACGAATCTTTTACAACAACAACAAAGGGGCCAATTATTAGATGTTGCTGTTTCCCCATGGTCACTTTTTCTTTGTGTGTGTGTGCAAGTGGGGGAGGGTAAGGTAGATAAAGCCAACCTCTATAATCTAATAATGATGATGGTAATGATTATTTTCTGGGAACCCAGTAAGAAAATCAATCCAAATGATGACATTGTAGGCAATGTTTAACCGACCGAAACGGGAAATATATTTTTTTTTCCCGGAGAAAATGTCATCATCATCTTGGTCGAACGAGCACGTGTATGATGATGATGATGATGGTCATGTCAGGTTGTCAAAGATAAGAAAAGTTAAAAGTCATTTTCAAGGTAATCATCATCAAGGTAATTAATTGATTTTTGGGAAAATTTCTTTCTTTCTCTGGATAAGGATGATGAGAAAAAATTCAACGGTTTACTGAATACGGTGTGAAATTCTTTCAGAAACAAAAAAATAATTCAATTTTTTCCTGAGAATAAGATTAGTAACGATATTTATGAACAAGGGGGAGGAAAAAAATTAGGTAGAAATAGAAATTTGACTTACAATCCAACGAAAACTAAATGGTATACGTATCATTGATTGTTTATTATTATTGTTGTTAGTAATGCCGGTAGTTGTTGTTGCCGAAGAAGAAGAAGAAGAGGTAGAAATAGCCAAATTTGATTCAATATGATAATGTTGATAATCATAATATAAAATTGTCAAAGTTTTCTGACCAAATGTACAACGATTTAGATTGATTTGTGAATTCCAAAATTCTTTTAAACAAACATGTATGGTTGTTGAATTTCTTATACCTTCAATAAATTGTAATTCAAAATAACCAGATGCATGAACTGGATTTATCACCGATGTTGTTGTTATGGTTATAATGATGATCATTATAATGGACAAAAATGACCATTGTCGATGTTGATTGTGATGATGATGAACACTTTGGATCAATTTTGATTGATTTAAAAACGTTCTTTCTAATTGACAATTGGGCGCCATATTTTCAATGTTTTTAAAGAAAATTCCACTTAAAAAAAACACAAAATTCACAAAACACACACACACACTGAATCACCACCAACAACCGAAAGCCGAATCAGTAATTTTCAATCAAACATCGCTTGATTGCATGAAAGTCTGACCGATAACTGACGGACTGACTGACTGACCAGAAGTTTTTCGTTTGGCCAGAAGAAAAAAATTACACAAAATCAAATCAACCTTTCTCTCACACAATCTATTTCGATCTAACTAAACCAAATAAACTAAACACGGTAGCCATCCAAAAACAAAAAAAAATGTGTAAATAGTTGTTGAGTGCGCGCACGTTATCGCGCGCGACAAGTTTTCAAAAATAATGAAAAAAATGGGATGTAACTTTTCTGTTGTTTAATCAAAAAAAATTTCATTTGATACCTCCCACTTTTTTTCATTATCATCATCTGAATGAAAACAGATCATTCCAGGATCAGGTAAGGTAGAAATAGTTGTTGATGATGGCTACCTGCTTTTTTTTCTCGCTACCGTTCCTGATTATTAAAATTGCTTGTTTGGTTGGTTGTGATCCTGATAATGATCTGAACAAGCAAAAAACTGATCATCATCGTCTGAGCAAGGTTTGTTGAAGAAGAAAAAAAAACAATATTTGGTCACGATTTTCGTTCGGATGTCTAAAAGATGATGATTTTCGGTTTTTTTTCGATCTTAATTTCTTTGTTCAACAATACAGGTGAGTTAAGGTGAACAAAACAAAACAGAAAAATTCCAGGTATTTTTTCTTTTTTCTGGCTTAATTTTAATAATTTTTTTCCTGACGTTGTCTGGCCACTTTGAATGAAAAAATGTCCATTTTTTTGCTTTTCACTTGACTTTTAATTTGATCTGGATCAATCTTGAATGATGGCCATATATTTCATCAGGACAAGACAATTTGGAAACTTCATTGTGAAAGGATTGTGTGTGTGGAAAAAACTTTGCCATTTGTCTGGTGGTACCCAAATGATTCAAGTCAAGTTAAATTATTCGATCGATCGATCGATTTGATCGATATAGATCGATTCCACACACACACAGACACACGATTGGCACGATTCGCTTCGGGGTTTTTGGTTTCATTTCGGTTTTTTTTCCTGCTTGACAAGAGAGAGAGATATGCTTGCAGTTGTTTGAATTTCTGTGTATTTTGCAGATCGATTGACCGATCGATCAGCAACAATTTCTTTTCGTCTATTTCGTTTTAATTGAAACTAGATTCATCTTGTCTTTCTAATTGATCATTAATTGTTTCAGTTTGATGATGATGAAGATGAAGATATTGATGATGAAGAATTTTATTGCCTTCAGGGGATAGTTATTATTTTTTTCTGATTCAATCGATAATGATGATAATCGAAAATATTTATTCACATCAGATTGGTATTATCGATCATCATTGATGACTGACATGACATCATTATTGTTTTTTTTTCCAGGTAAATCAATCATATATCGCCATCTTGTTGTGTAATAATTTAGTTTGTTTATGGAAATATGATTTTTTTTGGCGCTTTTTTGAAAAATTCAAAAAATCAAAGATAATTTCGCCATCTAGTGTTTATCGGATGAACTAAATGATTATTACCCTAATATCATGGTTTTACATTATTATCATCATAACCAAATAGCCATTCTATTTTATTCTTTTTTCAACACTTAAAAAGAATTGGACATGCGTATTAGATAGGTGTTTGTTTGATAATCATGCATGATGTGATGCCACTACTTCCATACAAGAACCATCATCATTATCGATATTGATATGAAAAAAAAGGTAAGAATGGTAAAATAAAGCAAAAAGTAAAGCAACGGTCGGGGGATTTATTGGGTGATTTGTTTTTTGCTGTTGTTGTGGGATATTAACCACCCACCCTCCATTATCTTGTTTTGAAAATTTGTCGACCGACCGACCGACCAACCGGCCAAACAAACAAACAAAAACCTGGAAGTAAGGATAGATCAATATACAACGACAACGACGAAACAATGGAAAGAAAAAAACTTTGATTCAAAATGAAGAATGGAAAAGAGAAGAAGAAGGGAAGTAAATCATCAAAAAGGAGTGTTTGAAAACAAATGTTTTTGAACAAAAAAATGGAATGGTTACACACACATCACATCAACGCATATACGCATTGATGAGAAATGTACCGGAATTTAGTGTGGGGGGAAAGAAAAACATAATTTCTGATAATGATTTTATTATCATCAAAATTATTTTGTTTTGTAATCGATAATAATTATGGGTAATGAATTTAATTCATTCAAAATTGAATTTCCAGAAAACAAAAATCGATAGTATCGATAGTATCGATTATTGATTTGAATTTTTTCGTTCAAATGAAAAGAAAAGAAAATTCCATCAGCAAAAAAAAACTAACAAACAAGTTTATCTAATCAAACAAACAATCGACCAAGAAATTATTATCATCAAAAAATTATTTCATTGGAAATCGGTAATCATCATCATCATCAAAAATACAATCCAAAATACAAAAGCCAAATGCATGTGCATTTTCTTTGTTTGGTCTCCCCTCTGTTGCCAATGCTTGGCTTGACCCCTTCTTTTGACTAAATCATAAGCGGCGACATCTATCGATCATTACCTTAGATTTTATTCGGCCATAATTGATGATAATGGTGGTGGTGAAAGAAGAGGAGGAGGAATGCTATATACACACAATATGTTTGTGAAGAAGATAGAGAGGAGGAAGGATTTCCAAAGAATGTAGCCATAAAAAAATGATAATAATAGCCATTCCCATTTTTGATATATACATGCAGAGGGAGTATAAACCACTGAATGTATATATGTGTATAATGTAAAGGTAGTGCTTTTATATATGCAAAGAAAGAAGAATATCCTCACCCTCTTTTCCTATTAATATTAATGCTAATGATGATTCATTTAATAGATTCGCGAGCGCGCTCTCACCCGCTTCCTTTTTTTCTATTTGTTTGTTCAAAAAAAAAATTGGTTGTTATTTTTCATTTGGCTCAAATATTCGCTATAAATCAGTTAATGTTAAAAAAAAATGAATTCTTTGGTTGAAAAAAAAATAAGATCAGGAAAATATGGCGGCAACGAACTCCTTTGCTATTTCACTTTTTTTGATTCTTTTCTTTTTTCAATCATTATCTGTGAAAATTCAAACTTTGAAGCGCGCATACTCAAAGAATTACATTGATTTGAATCAATTTTTTCTGGATAAAAAAAAATTCAAACGAAATAACTTCAGAAAATTTGCAAAAAATTTGTCATTTCATTTCAATTAATTTGCACCAAAGAAAATTTGAAAAACGGATTATTCATCAAAAATGAATGTGGCCGAAAAAAAAATAAAATGCGCTTTTTTTGTTTATTCGCTAAATTTTTTTTTAAAAGTTTTATGCGCGTTAACATTTGCGCATATTGGAAGAAATCAAAACCAAACTGATTTTTGAGCGCCACCATACTGATCGATTTGAAATTGAAAAAAAAACTAAAGTCTAACAATGTGTGTAATAATTACCACTACCCACTATCATCAAATACCACTAGAACAACCAGTACATTTTTTTTTTGTTTTTAGCCGATCAAAAGTTCATTGATTTGCCGTTGATTGTCGCTAAAATCGGTCTATATGTGCAAAGAAAGAAAGCAAAAAAAAAAGCATTGCATTGTTCATTGTCGATTGCCGCTTGTTTCGTTCGATTCGATTCTCTTTTTCTTTTTCTTCTCCATAACCATTTTAACCATCATCATCATCATTCGTTTGTTCGTCATCGTTTTGTTAACGTTCGAAAAATTTTTTTTTTCAAAAGAAAAAATCATTTTCCAAAATTTTTGTTCGTAAATTCTTTAACCAAAAAAATTCACCGAATTTGCATTTGAAAAATAACATCGGTTCGTTTTGGCTTGCTTGCTTGCCTGTTGTTTTCTTCAATTCATCAAATATTTTCTTTCATTTTTTCTTGTCTTTCACAATTAGATCGTCAAGAAAAAATTCTCGATCATCATCCACAAACATCAATCACCACCACCACCACCAATCATCATCATTTTTTTCAAATTCAACCAAATAAATAAATAAACAAAACACATCAAAAATGTCCGAATCCGAAGTTGTCAATACAAACAACAATAGTACCGATGAAATTGTTACCAAGGATCCAAAGAATGATTCCCTTAAACGAAAGGATAATGAGGTATGATCATCATAATCAAAATTCTATGTTTTGATAATGATTATGACATGACATGACATTTGTCTTCGAAATTTGTTTTTTTTTCGAAAATGAATTAGCGAAAACATGAAAAAAAATGCGGCGCACGTTGTCATCGAACCCCCATAAACACACACACGCACACAGTGTTTTCTATTTTATATCCAACCATCCATGTTCGACAATAATAATAACAAAAATAGAATTTACCAAAAACAATGGCCGCCATTGCCAATTTACACATTTTTCACATAAAATCACCGGTTAATCATACCTTTTCGAATATCTAATTCTACAATCTTTTTTTTTGTTTTCTTCTGTGTTTTTCTTTATATAAAATGAAAAAAAAAGTTTTCGGAAGATTCCAATTCGGTTCTGGATTCCGTCAACGATGAAAGCAATCATAAAAAAGCTAAACATGAAAATGGCGCCGATGATGAATCGAATGATGCAAATGATGCCGGTAAGTTTTTCATTTTTAAAACATTGAATTTTTGTTTTTGTTTTTCGAAATCTTTGAATGTCCAAATAGCGCCGGTACACATCAATCCCCTGTGTATTTGAATTTCTTTTTTTGAATGTCATTTTTTCATATTTGATCGATAATGTCATTCGCTGATAATATCGATTAATATGACCTAAATGAATAGCCATTATTAGGTTGTCATCATCATTATTGTTGACCAAAGTAAAAACTTGGGTCTTGCTTGCTTGTTTTTTTGTTGTTTTGTTGCCGGTAATTCCGTTCTCGGTGTGTTTAGTGTGTGTGTGTGGTGTGACCGTGTCTCTCTTTGTTTCCCACCACCACTCTTTTCTAAAAGCACACCATTAGAGTTTCATCATCAACATCCATGCACACACACAAGTCAAGCCATCCATCCATCCATTTTTGTTTCTTCTAACCAGAGAAAATCTATCTAAATAAAATAAAAGCAAAGCTTGTTTTTGACATAGAAGAACTCTATCTATCTCTTCAAAAATATTCGCCATATCTTTATTTTTTTTCTTCTTTCTTTTTTGGCTTTGCTTTATTTTTAAGGCTTAGGTTTTTTTTTCGTTAATATTTTCATTTGTAAGGGGCCAAGCTAAAATATATACAAACAGGCAAAATGAAAAAAATAAAACGAAAAACACACCGTCGCCGTTTGTCAATTGCCTTTAGCTTTGGCTTTGGCTGCCATTAACCACCACCACCACCACGCCGTACACATACATTGAGACGACCATTGTTAGCATCCGAATACACAATTTTCGAATATAAAAAGTGGCGCTTATGTTTTTGCTCTTTTTTTGCGATTGCGCTGTATATTCGTTATTTGAATATTGGAATTGCCACTACCACAGTGATACAGCATGTAATTCATTCATTCAATTTTTTTTATGTTTTTGCGCGCGCGGTTTTTTTTGTTTTGTTTGTAACAATCCCTGCTTGCTCTCTGTCTGGCTGGATAACTAAATGGATGGATTGCGCGTTTGTTTCCTTTTACACAATCTGTCTTCGTTTTTTTTGTTCATGGTCGTTGCCCATCATGAAACCAAAAAAAAACTATGAACAAAAAAGAAAAAGTTCATAATGATCTCTATTTTTCATTTAAACATATACTATTGTGCCACTACTCTATTCAATGGTGATGAGCATTTTTTTCACCTTATGTCATTTTCATTCAGAAAAATATACATGTATAAATATGCTAGGACCTTTTCCGTTTCCGAAAATTTGAATTTTTTTTTGGCGCCACTTTTTACTTGTTTGTGTTGTCCATTCATTAGCTACGTTACGCACTAATATTAATGGATTTTTTAAGTGTTTTACACAAATTTCCTGAACATTCTTTATTTCGTAAAATGATAATCTGTCAAACTATAATATACTAATGATTTTTCTTTCTTTTTTTTTCTTTTCATCAAATTTGCATCACGTCATTCGTTTGTTCATAAATGACGTATTGGAATCCGGAATCCATTTATCAATCACCACCATTCATTTATTAATGATTATGCCAAAATGAATAAATAGGTGGAGATGTAGATGAAGAGGATGAAGAAGATGATGATGATGAAGTTGTTCCTGAAGATTATGCCGATGAAGATGAAGAAGAAGGTGATGGTGCCGATGAAGAAGACGATGATGATGATGATGCATAGAAAATATTAATTTAACAAAAAAAAAATGATAATAATTAAAAAAAAACCAAGCGAAACAAAAAAAAATTATATGATAAAAATGGAATTTGGATTTTAAAAATTTCAATCATCATCAGCAACAAAACATAACCAACCAATTACTACATTGTCTCTATTCTTTTTATCTTTATCTCATTCTCTCTCTCTCATTCATCCAAAACAACCAATTTGGGCTACTAATTACAACAACAACAAATTGATGATGAAACAACACAAACATTTTAAACACACACGTGACATTGATGTATCTCATTTTTTTTGTCTCATTTCATTTTCATTTCTTTTTTGCTATCTTTTTTCACTCACAATCACTCTTTTTTTTTGTCTCTCTATTTCATCCCCCATTTGACATTCTACAGACATCCAAAAACACACATTACACAAACAAAACAGAATAATGATGGTTCATCGTTGTCGTCATCTTCATTGAGAAAAGATTTACATTTTTTTTTGTTCCAGAAAAAAAAACAATCCAGAATATACACAGGCCACACATGAATTTCAAATTTTCGCGCTTTTTTTTCTAATTTCGTATCAATAACACAACAAAAGAAACATTTCTTAATTTTCAAGTTTTCAAGTTCATTTTTTTTTTTAAAAAAAAGAAAAAAAATTTCATTTTTTTTGTTCAAAAAACCCAAGTTAGTAGTTTTTTGTGTGCACCTGGATTTAATTCAAATATTTTTCCCCTTTTGAATTTTTTTTTCAAATTTTCATTATCCAAACAGACAAATTCTTTATAGATTTTTTTTTCTTTTGCTACCATCATCTTAATAACATCAATTTTTAAAAGAAGGAAAAAAATTTTGAAATTTTTTTTTTGTTTATAAAACAAAAATTCACAGATGATGTTTTAAATTCCGTTCATTTGATACACACTTACACACCAACAAACATCATTTGATAACAAAAGAACCATCATTAAAAAAAACGAAAAAAAATTTTAAAAATTTTACCTGATTTTTACCATTTTTTTCAAAAAAAAAATCAAATTCGAAATTTTCGGACATGTCATTTATGAATTGAACATCCCGTTTTCCATTGTGTTCGTCGCGTACATTGACATTTTCGATATTATTCTTATGAATTTATGATGAATGAAGAGGGTTGTGATTTCATTTTTATTTTACCTTGTAATATCTTTTAACCAAAAAGATAAACACATTGTTGATCAACTAGTTTGTTTTTCTTTAAAAAAAACGAAATAATGGCCCTTTAACTGGTTCAATGATGAAGAATGGCGTCAAGAAAAGCCACCAAGTTAGTTTGTAAAATCAAATTAACGCCTTATTTTTTTCATCTGCTTCTTGATGGAACGATCATCATCACCATTCATCAGATTTCTATATAGGAGATGGATATTCATGGATCACCAAGTTCCAAAATGAAATGAAATGACTTCAAAAAGAGATATTCCCTTCCCTTGTATATAGCAAATCTCTAAAAAATTCGAATCTTCAAAGATTCGAATTCTTATTCAACCCAAACGATACCATTAAGGTAGATATATCCAAAACGAAAACTTGTTATGTAATTTTTATAAAACAAGAAAAAAATTACTTTAATTGATTTTTTTCTTTTAAAAAAAGGTAAAAAAAACGATGAATAATGAATCTAAAGACAAAAGACTAACAACCCAAGCAACGACGACAGGCAATGATCAAAAACCTTAACCCAAAAGATACAGTGTGTTTTTTCTTTTGTATATCAGGAGATATACACATTCATTTATGTACATCCAATAATATTTGGAATGAGGGATACATGCCCACACATCAACAACAACACTCCAAAAAAGAAACCAAATTGAGCAACAACAACGACGACGACTATACGAGGTCATTGCAGGTATTATAAACAAACGAACGAACGAACGAATCTTGTTTGTTTCTCTTGTGTTTTTTCGATTCGACTACCATTCGATGTTGTTGTTAGCAAACATCATCATCATCAGTCGGTTTGATTTGATTGATCATTATTATCATCAACAACAACGATAGCTGTTTGTTTGTCTATATAGTTTTTTTCGTTTTTCGATATTTTATGAGACAACAAACAAACAACGACTACGACGACGACGTAAACAAAACAAAACTGTTGCAATCTACAAAACCAGAAACAAGAAAAATTTTTCTTCTGGATCATTTCTTTTATGGATCGTTTACGTTATTGTTGTTAATCCTTTCTAACTGCAGAAAACAAAAATGCTTGATGGATTAAAAAGGGGAAATTAACGATAATTAAGAAATTTTATGAGTGATTAATTGATTGAGTGAGTGAGTTTTTTGGCTGGTAAGTTAATCAATTTTTATTGTTCCTTAATCTAATCCAGTTTTTCTTTTTTTTTTCATTCGATTTTTGATTCTGAAAACTCACACCGTAGAAACAGGAATCGAAAAACAAACGCATTTTGCCCCAAAAAATATTATCATTTTGGCATTGAAGATTTGTGAAATCATTTTTCGTTTTTTTCACTCAAGAATTGAAAAGTAGAACGGCATAATTTTTTGTTGGCATTTTTCCCAAAAATATTCTTTATTCAAGAAAGACATCCTTCAAAATTTTCAATATTTTCATCCGCATCATTTTTTGTTTCGACGATTGCCTTGTGTGTTCATATCCCTGCATTTCATAAATGAATTTTTGTTTGTAAAAAACAAAATCGAAACAAACTTAATAACCTGAAAAATCATCTAACCATAAGAAAGATAGAGACACACTTTTGGGTGTGTGACTGAGTGATTTGTTTGTTTGTTTGTTTTCCTCAATTTCAATCTGAAGAAAGTCTGAAAAAATTTCATTCAAACAACGAAATTCATTACGAAAAAATCAACAGCAAAAAAAATTATCGAATGAACCCGATTATCATTGTGGATACTGTCGACAATGGCAACAGAGGCCACAAAAACCCCAACAATAACAACAACAAATCATCATGGCCATGGTCATCACCATCATCATCATAATCATCATCATGTGCAATCACAACAACAACAACCACAATATTCAAGAAATGTGATTGAAAATGTGATCAAATCATTAGATCAATTAATATTAGCAAATAATGTTAAACAAATTCTAGAATATAATCGAAGAATATCAAAATTATTACATTTTAATAATGATTTGGTTGATGATAACCTGGATGAATCAACAATCAACTCGAATAATAACAATAATGGTTTACAGAATTTTTTCCGGTTAAAAAATGCCTTAAATGTTAAAACAGTTTCCAAATGGAATCGTGTTGCTTCGATATTGAAAACATTAGATATGAAAGCTAATCAAAAAGAATATCTAAAATTTCGTTCAAATGTCCAAGGTAGAAAAATTCTAATTATTGGTGGTGGTATTTCAGGTTTACGTGTTTCAATCGAATTATTATTGCTAGGTGCAAAAGGTAAGTTTCTTTTTCTTTTTGATTCATAACTTGATTAATTTTCCTTGTTTCGTCCATTGAAAGTAATTTGTGTGGAAAAACGTGATGAATTTACACGTAATAATGTTATACATTTATGGCCAAATGTTATCAATGATATGTGTACATTTGAATCAAAACGTTTTTATGGAAAATTTTGTGTCGGTTCTATTGATCATATATCTATACGACAATTACAATTAATCCTGTTGAAAATTGCAATTATTTATGGATTGAATTTCTATACAAATATTACATTTACGGAAATTTGTCCACGTATTATTGAACCTAGAATAGGAAGATGTTCATCGCAATCAATACAATGTGATTGTTGTTGTCATCAACATGGTTTTGGTCGTGGATCATATGCACATTTTCAACTTACATCGATGCAGGACTCTGGTTCAGGTGCAGGACAATCGCAAACATTGGTCAATTATTTAAATCGACAATCCTTCGATGTTATTATTGGTTGTGATGGTAGACGTCATACATTTAGCCGATATTTTCGTCGAAATAATCGTCGTGGAAAATTAGCCATTGGATTGACGGCAAATTTTATCAATCATCGTACGGAAGAAGAAGTACAATCCGAAGAAATTAGCGGTACAAGTCGTATTTATCAACAACAATGGTTTCAAAATCTTCAAGATGAAACTGGAATCGAACTGGAAAATCTTGTTTATTATCGTGATAATACACATTATTTTGTTATGACAGCAACAAAATCATCATTATTATTACGTGGTGTATTGAAAACTGATTACAGTGATTCTCATCAACTTTTATCTATGAATAACAGTAAGTTTTTTTTTGTTTTTCTTGGTTTGATTTTTCAATAAATCATCAATGTTTTCTTTCAGTTGATACACAAAAATTAATGCATTATAGTAAAGATGCAGCTGAATGGTCATCAAAACTTCGACGATTAGAATTTGCACGTAATTCAAATAATATGCCCGATGTTGCATTGTTTGATTTTACATCCATGTATTCAGCAACAAATGCATCATGTGCAAAAAAAATTCATCTTCGTTGTTGTTGTGATCAATCGGTTAATATAAATTCAACAGAAAATTCTCGTTATATGTTATTATTATTATGTGGTGATTCATTACTCGAGCCGGTAAATTATTAATCTTTTGGATTTTAAAAGATTTCTAATCAGATAATTTTTTCTTCTCTGTGATGATAAACAAAGTTTTGGCCAACTGGTAGTGGGGCTGGTCGTGGATTTCTATCGGCAATGGATGCAGCATGGACTGTTGCACAATGGTTTTCAAATGTTGATAATAGCTATTCAATTGATTCAATGCTCAATGTTATTAGTAAACGTGAATATATCTATAGGTAAAAGCAATGTTGATGTTTGTTTTTTCACAAATTCACATTTTCTCACCATTATTTTTAGATTATTAGCACAAACTAGTCCTGAAAATATAACCAATAAAAATTTTTCCATTGATCCACAATCACGTTATAAAACATTAAATATTTTAACAAATGATACATTGAAAGAGATAAAAGAACAAGTTCGTCATTTAATTATTGATAAACCTGATATTGATATGAAAATTTATCGTATTAGTAATGAAGCAAAACGTGCACGTCGTGCTACAGTTGGTATTGATCCAAATGATATTTTGAAAGCAAAAAATTTACATGTTGATACAAGTAAATTGGATGAATTTGTTTGTCAAACAAATCATAATCATCATCATCATTTAATTGATTATCAACGTAATAATCATCATACGGTCCTTCAATATTCAGTGCCTTCATCATCATCTGCAAATAATAATAATCGACAGCAACACTGTGATAATCGAAATGATAGTCGTTCACCGATTGATGTTGTAGAATTTCTTCCAAGAAATCATTCAACAACAGCGACAACAAATAACATTCAGAATAATTCAACAAGACGACCATTGGATGTACAACCAAGAAATGATCGTTTATTTTCCAATATGGCTAAAAAGAATCATCATGCACGTAATCATTTTTTTCATCAAACATCAAATATCGATCAACATCAACAACCACAACATTCATTACATTCGAATGATATTATTTCCAATAATTGTTTATTATTATCATCATCACCATCATCATCGATTTCATCAAATCATTCAAAATTAGATTGGACATCATCATCAAAAAATGATAATAATAATCTTAATAATACTAGTCATGAATCACAAATAATAATGAAACAAGGTCAACAAAATCATAATGAATCATCAGGAAATGATAAAGAAAATTGTCCAATTCCAGATTTTAAACAAATGTTTTTACTTGATGATTATGATGATGATAATGGTAATGATGATGATGATTATTTACAATCCAAATCCAAATCATCAATGGTGAAAAATCGTCTAAATTCAATGTCACAAAAAATGTTTGGAAATCCACATCATAATGATAGCTTACATGATTTTGAAAAATCATTATCACGTCGTCCGGTAAAAAAATCATCGGATATAATGGAAAAAGCACAATTTTTAGAACAAAAATTTGAAGAACATAACCGATCATATCAACCAAATTTGAATCGTGTTGGTCGTATTGAAGAAGATGATTGGAATGTTAAAATATGGAACGATACAAATCTATTTGGTAAACTCAACTAAAAAAAAATTTGTCCTCTCTTTTCACACATATACAAAAGAACTAAATGTCTATTGTAGGGAAAAACATTCAATATTTGCTTATCATATTTTCTTTTCTTTTTTTTCTTCTTTATTTTCTTACCATCCACGTATTTTTATTCTTCTTTTTCGGTTTAGCACCAAAAATAGATAAATCTGGTCGGCCATTTGTAGGTGAAAATAGTCGTAATCTACTTCAATCAAGAATTACACAATTGAATAATAATTTTGAATATAATCGTCCAATGATATCGAAAACATTTTTATCATCAACAACAACAACCGCAACAGCCAATGCTAAAAATAATGATTATGTTAATATGTTATCGGCAGAAGTTTGTCAGAAATTAAATTCCGGTAATAATAATATTGTTCAACCATCATTACCAATCGAAACGATAATTGGAAAAACATCATCAAGTGATACCACAGATTCACAGATCAAAATAACCAGTGCATTTCGTGATCCATCCACAAACATTCGAAGTAGAATACCCGGTTCTTCAGATTTACTTAAACCAATTGGTGATTGTTATCGTTGTTTGAAAACATTGCTAGCAAATGATCGTGTTACCATTTTAGGTAGAAATTTTCATAGGTATTTTATTTTGTTTTTGTTGGTTTTTTTGACATTATAATTAATTTTCGTTTTTTTCTTTCCACAAAAGAAATTGTCTCACCTGTAAAATTTGTAATGTTAGTCTTAGACATGATGAACTTATGGCATCGATTGATGATTTTATTTGTAAAATTTGTTTAAAAATTCGTTCACGTCAAATTGATGATATTGATAATGATTCAAATAATATTATAATGACAACAAGTACTGGTTCTACATTCAGTAATTCATCAATGATAAATGATAGTAAAAATGCATTCTTATCACAAGCACCACTTAGTTCATCATTAAATTTATCATTAATGGAAGCAAAGAAAAATTTCCTAGAAAATGCTCAACAAATTGATCTACGTGAACGTGCTGAATTTGAATTGATTATTGATGATGATGATAATACAAATCCATCGAATCAATCGGATAATAATGATAATGATGTGGAACAACAACAAGATGATGTTGAATTTGACATCGAAAATGACGAAAATCAACAAGAAGAAATCAATGACGATGTTGATGATCAAAAACAAAATGATGAACAAGAACAACTGCAACAACAACAACAATCATCAGATTTATCCGATAGTTCGGATGTTCATTGTTCATCAAGTGATAATTATACGGATGATGAACATTCATCGGATTCATCTTCATCATCATCATGTCTTCCTCAACGTCCATCATCAATAAAATCATCAACAACAGTTCCATTACATAAATCATCATCATCTTCGTCTTCGTCATCTTCGACGTCATCGAATTCAGCTAACCAAAAAAATGTTGATCATTCGTACAATATTGATTTTGGATCCGGATTTACGGTAATAATTCTTATGATAATAATTTTATTATTTCTTATTATCGTTTGGCTGATCGATGATTATGGCTTTTTATTTTTGGATTTTTTTCCCTTATTTCATTTCATTATTTTTGGCTTTTACTAACTTCATATCTTCCCCTTTGATTCCCCACCTTTTAAAACCGAAATGAAATAGAGCTTAATTGGAACAACATCTACAACAAATACACCAACAACCGTTACGAATGATGATAATTCATCCATTATGAATGTCAATGATGATGATAATGATGATGATGGTTGTGTCGAAATGGTTGCAACAACAAATTCTAAAAATTCCCTTACAACCGATTCCATTACAAACGATCCTATAGCTGCTTCGAATTTACCATTGCTTTCAAATGATGCTTATTATTATGATGGTTCATCGCAATGTTCAATCAATTTTAATGATTTTGATGAAAAGCATTTGCCATTAACATCAACAATGACAACAGAATTAACACAGAACGAACCAATTGTACAATGTGCAAATATAACCCAAATGGCTAATGATAATAATGATCAAAATAGAATTATTGTTGATTTAAATTGTTGTCAATTTGTTGATGCTGTTGATAATGATTGTGATCAATCAATAATGAAATTAGAATCACCAAAATCTAAAATTAATAATGCTTCATCAGCAAAACATTCACATAATCAATCATCACCTGGATTGAAAAAAGAATCATTGATTTTTAATTTTAATAGAAAAGAACCACTGAATATCGATTCTATCATCAAGACAAAACAACAACCGCAACAGCAGCAGCAAGAAATGACGAAAATGTCCGACACCAAGATAACGCCAACAACGATTCGTAATGATAATGGCAATGGCAAAAATAAGTCTTCAACTTCCAACAATAATAATCATTCAAAGAAAAACATTGGATCTGGATCTGGAAATGCTGTTACACAAATCAAACCAATTACAACAACAACAACAACAAAACCATCAAATATACCAACATATCGTTATGATGGTCATTTTACTGAAAAATTTTATCGTTCACAATCACAGCCAAGTTTATTTGCACAAATGGATCATATTGGTAATAAATTAAAAATGAAACGAAATTATTCACCAACAACAACAACAACAACAAATATTGGTGATAATAATGCTAATACAGTTTCGATAAAATTGCCATTTGTTGATGGATCACCACCGAAAAATGATGATAATAATGATAATGATAAAATTTTATCAACACCGAAAACAATTTTTAATCAACACCGAACAACAACCAACAATACCACCAACAACAACAATGATCAGCAATCATCAAATTCATCATCAATAAAATCATCACTTACTCAGGCTCCATTTGCTCGTATCGATGATGTTTGATTGTTTTGTTTTTTTTTTAGTTTACTGTTTCTATTCTGGCTTTCACATTCTTACCTGACTGATAAATAATGATGTTATTTATACGGTTTACAAATACAAATTTATAATAATAATAATGGTGTGATAATTTTTTTGTTTTTTTATTTTCAAAAAAAAATGTTTTATCTCTATTTACAAACTCTATGTTCTTCCAAATTTTACACAATCATAATATTAACTAAAAATTAAAACCGAGAATAATTAAAAAAATATTAATTGTTTTAAAATCATAAATTTTTTCAAAAAAAATTATTTACCCGCCAATTTTTTTTTTTAAACAACGCCATCTACAATTCAATTTGGTTATTAAAATTTGATTTTTTTTTCTGGTGAAAGCGCGCACATAATAATAATGATACAAAACACGCCTTGTAATAAATGATTGGAATAAATGTTATTATCCTGTAAACTTTTTGCTGTTGTTGTTTTCCTGGTGAAAAAAGAAAAAATCATCGAAATGAAAAGGATGTAAGTAAGCATCGTATAATGGTAGCAGTAGTAGTGGCAGTGACAGCGACTACAGTACTGATATTATACCGTTATTTTATTTACCGTTATTTGTCTGGTTAGTTGTTTGGTATCCATCCATCTTTTGCATATTTTCCTGATGTGTTTGTGTATCCAAGGCGACTATACAACTTTAACAACAACAAAAATAACCAAAAAAATATATCGATCGTTTTCTATACGTCTGGTGCGTGTGTTTTTTCCCCAAAACAAATGTGTTTTTTCGGTTTGGTTTGGTTGATGATTGAACTCTGGTTCACTGTAAAATGTCTATTTTGTTAAATATCCTTCTTCTTTCCCTGTGAGCTATATGCTGATCACACACACACATCTCACATCTCACAATATCCATTTTCCATCCAGGCTCGCTCTCACATAGCGAAAACGAAAAAAAATGGCGTATACCAAATGCTGAATTATTTTCATTGGGTGTAGGGGTGGATAACAACCAACCAAGCAACCAGATGGATATGATGATGATGATGACAAGGATATATTTTTTGTTGTTGTTTAGGCAAAAACAAAAAAATAGAAAAATTAAAAGATTCTGCTCATCATCATCATCATATAGGAGCTATATGCATGCTATATATTTGTTTGTTGTTTTTTAAACCCAAAAAGTTAAAAAAAACTATCCAATTTTTTGTTTTTTCTTGGTTCGGGGTTCTTCCTCCCTCCCTCCCTCTCGCTTTCTCTGGCTTCTTCTCGTGTAAATGACATATACTAAAAACTACATAGAATCCTGAAGAATCGAGCCAACTAAAATATAATTCGAGGGCGCTATAATCGCCCTACGTATATTCTTTAATACGGATTCCTCCTGCTTTCTCTGAATTGTGTAAAAAATCATCATCAAAATGTGGTCATCATCATCATCGACGACGACGGCAACGACAATTGACTAGCAAAGAAATTATCCACCACCAACCAACCAATATACCACACAAAATAAAAATCAACAAACATCGACGAGTGTTTTGCTTGGTTGTTTTGTTGTTGTTGAGAGAGGATTATATATCCTGATATATTTCACATACACCAAGAAAAACTTTTTCAAAAATTCATCTATATATTATTTGGCTTCTGTGTTTCTTCTTTTTTTTCTGGTTTGCTTGATGTTTTTCTGGTGACTATATCTTCTTCGTTTTTTTTTCATGGTCTCTTTTTCGTTGTTTTCCAATCCAACTATATGTTTCAACACTATATGGTAGTGTTTGTTTGGTAAATTGATAATGATAATCATCATCGTTATATGATGGTTTCAAACAACTAAACAAACGAACGAAGAAGAATTTATTCAATTTTTTATTCACAATGGTAAATGCGGTAAAAACCTACTAATAAACTAATAAACATCTACCATTTTTTT